GGTTGATTTCTTTGAAGAAGCCAGGGGACTGCCAAGCGCTCTGTCTCCTGCTCTGCTTGAGTCTTAAGCAAACAGCTGACGTTTGAAGGAAGACTGTTGAAAGAGACACATCTGTTGCCAGGAGGAGCTGACATAATCCCTTTCCGTGGTTCGCTGTAATCCCTTCGAAATGAATAGATGGTCAATTCCAGCGTGATTATTCTGAGACTGTCTTTAAGACGCTTGCGTGATTGGCCTTGGGTTTTACCACGCTCCATGCAATGGAAGGAGCTGGGGGTGGGTGCGATTCCTCTGGTTTCACCTCTCCCCTGGGCCCTTTGTGCTCCCCCCGTCCGGCCCTGCAGCGGGGGATCAGACCAGGTGAACAGTGTGTGTAGCGCTGGAGTAGAGTTATGTTGTGAGTTCAGCGAAAAGGCTGATCTGCTGACCTTATTCAATATTGCATGCAGCACAGCTCTTAGCTACGGTAGGTCTGGTTTGTTAACAGATTAAATCCTTGAGTAGTGTTTAATAGTATGTTGAACTTCAGGTAGTGATTTCCGTCACGAGTTCATATTTTAAATGGTCAAATATAGTTGCAGATCACTGTGAATTAGTTGCCATCTATAATGAGACTCCAGATGCTGACTCATGTTGTGTACTGGTAGCTGACTGGTGGTGCCTTCCTTCTGAGATGGCTCCAGGCAAGCCGTGACAGGAAGCCCTAATGTATTTCCAGCTGGCTAAATTGCTCACGTTTGTGACTACTTGATGCTTGAAAAACTTCACATTCTCGCAGTGAATAGGAAGCATCTTCAGGGAATGCTGTGATTTAAAACTAAAAACTGAGCCTTGCCTTTTTCATTAGAAAAGTTTGGTTTTTAGTGGTTACTGTAGGATGAAGCACTTAAGGCGGTTCTGTTTCTGACTTGGCTGCATTCATGATGCCACAGACAATGTCAGAGCTATCTGGTGGGAAAAGAGAAAAGACTGTAATGTGGTCAGTTCAAATAATAAGTCAACTCTAGGCTTGTGTTTAGGTGCAACTTTGGAAAGGTTTTAACAGCAGCAGAGAGTTGCTGCAGCAAGGAAGGGGCTGCTACCTTATTGCAGCAGTTGGGAGGTCACGAGATCTGAAAATACTAGAAACTTCGCAGAGGACAGAGAATTAATTCCACTTTATTCATTCAGCTGCTGGACAGACTGGGAGTATTTAATCTGAGAAACCTACTGTTTGGAGGCTAATGTGGAAGGTGGAAACCTAGTGCCCAGTGTGACTGGGAAGAAGAGAAGGATATTGCCTTAAGTTAGGTCTGTGTACTTCTTAATCTAAAAGTTCCTTTTCCTGGCACTGAAGTGAATTAAAATTTGCAAGTCTTGTGTTTGTGTACTTGAAAAAGGGGCTAAGTTGAAACATGTTGCTCCTGAAGGGAGGAGAGAAAATACAGGACAGGGGGGAAGTGGTGAGATGTATGCCGAGGTATGTAAGTAAAGGTGTGAAGGATGAGGGAGTAAAAAAAAAAAAAAGGGCAAACGGAAGACTGTACTGAGCAATTACGAGCTGTTTTAAGGCACTGAAATGAAAAGCTTTACCAGAACCAGAAGGGATAAGAAGGCTACAAAAGCTATGAAGACATAGTAAGACTTGCATCAGCATTGTGCATCTTCTTTAGCAGTGACAACTCGTATTGTTGTTTGCCTCCTTGCACTTAGCAAACCTAGTAACACGCAGAGACTGGGGAAATTTAGCAGGTACTTAAAATTGAGTATTTTCTGCTTCTGACATTGGAACTTCTTCTCTTTATTAAAGAAAGCCCCTTGACTGTGTGTTCCACTGTGAAGCACCATCAGTTATGAAATGTGATTTTAATCCAGGAAGACAAAAATCCTAATTTAAGTAATTGATAGGCTATAACAAAATCTGGAATGGATTTTGTTCACCAAAGGTGTGCTCTGTTTTTTCCATATACTTGTCACACTCCTTATTTACAAATGACAAATTGTGTCTTTCTGAACCGTGTATTTCCTTCTGAATGTATATCCATTTGGGTTTTTTACTTATGTTTCATACATCTTGATACCAATAAGAGCAAGAACTCCATTGTGTCATTATTTTAGAATTACATGAGTTATTTAGAAGTAACTTTAAGAAGGCACATTCATGTTTGAAACTAATTGGATAGTGTAAGTGTGATTATTGTAGCTGGAGACTGTAATGGATTGCTCATCAGAGATTTAGGCCTAATAGAGCTGACCCTTCCGCTTAGTCACAGCTTGGAAGAGAAATGCAATTTTTCTACCTTTTTATACTTGTAGTCAGCTTCTCTGTTTTGCATTCATTAACTATTGAAATGAATTACTGGATATCTCTTTCTCTCTACTTTACAGGCACAGAAGAATTACTGTGCAGAAGGATTGCTATTAAAAAATTGGCTGTAGTTTTGGTTTGTAGCCAAAGACCTCACATAGATCAATTGCTTTCTTTTTATTTAAAACTTGAACAGCAATCCACATGATCAAAAAAATTATTTAAATTTTATTATTTTAATGGTTGACTTGAAATCTTGGCATGGTTTCTCCTAATTTCAGGTGTTATTTTAAAAAGAAAAATATTTGATTTAAATATCCTGGGAGTTGTTTCTTAGACCATCATGTGCACACACCCAATATGCACAAATACAGTGTGTGGATAGGGGTGTGCATCTTTTTATTCCCTGTGGAGTAAGTGTCAACCCAAAAGCATATTTCCTGCTACTGAGCAGATGGCTGGAAGGTCTGAGTTGTCTGAATTCCAGAGGTGTCTTGGTCAGGTTGTAGAGTTTTGGGTGGCTGATCCTTTTTTTTTTTTTTTTTTTTTTTGCTAGTTTCAGGTGCCTAACCCGGAGCATAGGTTCTCTATTCCAAGGTCAGCACAAACAGACCAAAACCCTGGACTGTTTGCTGGGGTGGCTGAGCAACAGGGCATGATTTCACATTGGGACTGACAGGATCTAGTGACTCACGGAAAGAGGTGGACGTACTCCCAGCCTGGTGCTGTCCTCTGTTTGCTGGTGTCTGCTCCGGAGCTTGTCTGACCCCCTCAGAGATTAGGTTCAGGTCATTCAGCCAGCAGAAAACTAACCAAAATACAAGGTGAAAAAGTCTTCCAACCTTTTAGCAAGCTGAACCAGCTAACAGGGCTAGATGAACAGCCGAGGGAGGAAGTGGAACGTCCGTGTTCAGGGGCAGCACACCATAGCATGAAACTCCTCCTCCATCAGGTCAGTGAGAATTGGAGCTGTATTGCATTTCAGAGGATTACAAGAATAAGTGTAAGGCTTTAAAAGAGGAAAAAACCAATGCGATGTGATCTTCAAGATGCAGTCAGCCGTGTACTGGATAGAGCTTGGTACTGCTCTCTGAGCACCCGGGTCAAAGCTTCCCTCTAAGGAAATACCACTGCCCATAACCACCGTCAGACGCGTGTGATGCAATGGCTTTCTAGCAAGGCTCATCCGATGGCAGCGGCACATGTGTTTCTCACCGTGTAAAGCCAATGTGGGGGCTGGATTCATCCTTTATGCAAAAGGAGGAATTAATTTACCTGTGTCTAGCAGGGTGCTCAGTGGCTCTCTTTTGGAGGTGCCGCTTCGTGGGAGCGCTGAGTGCCGCGGTGAGGTGCGAGGCTGCTCCGTCAGGACGATGTGGGTTCCTCCTGCTGCTGTTTCTCATGGTCAGGAAGACATTGCTCACATCTCGCCGCAGTGACTCAGGGGCGTTTGAGAGTCAGCAGGTGGAAGATCTTTGTAAACTGTAATGCCAGTGGTACAGTATGGCTGGGAGCTCTGACCTTGACAGAAAGAAGCCTACGATATGGATGTAGCGTATGGTAATTCATTCTCACTTAAGGTACACTTAGTGGAGTTGGCCTCTTGTAAGCGGAGAATGAAACTTCTTTTGAATTGATCAGAATAATGCTGCACAGCAAAGGAGGGTGTGAATTTCTCAGGTAGAGAAAAACTTCCAAAAATACAGTATAGGAAAAGGTTGCCTGCAATTCTTTGAAAATGCTGCTGTACTGAGCTGCCTAATACTAGTGGGACTCAGGGTCATGTCTTGTGGGCAGCTATGAAACTGTTCTAACTTGGACTGGAAAGCTGTTTTTACTTTGTCTGCTCTGAGGTGCAAGAGTAGTGGGAGAGGAGATGGCATCACTGCAGGCCTCTTCATTAGGTTTCACTGCAGGCAGGCGAGAGGGGACACTGCCAGGGTTTATATATTGTTGTAAAGCAGTTTGTCAAGCTAACTTGATGCAGTTGCTGCAAAGAATGTCCAAAGCAGCGTACCTTGCAAACTTCGTAGTTGGTTTCTGCTCAACAAAACGTTTCCCAGACATCAGGCTAGCAAATGCTGTATTGCTCAGAATACAGCCCTAGTGCTAGTCTCACCCACTTTAAAATTAGTTCTTGCCCTCATGTCCAAAATTGGGATTGTGTTCCACCTGAGTGGTGTCACAAGGCAGTTCTCTTTTAATTGAGTTGTTCTGTTCAAGTGCAGTCCAAGATCTAATGTGAAAAGCAGCCGCCCATTTCCTTCTTGCTTTGTTACTTTTCGTCCACCACAATATCCTAGTGCTGGTTTAGTGTCCCTTCTGAAATAACTCTTGCAGATGGAACTCTTCTAATTATATGTTTTCTTTTTATTTGAGAAAGTAAATGCTACAAACAGTCAAATCCTTTAGTTCTTTTAAGCTGTGGTATAATATGTTGAGACTGCAGATTTAATATATTTAAATAAAAAAGCTAGCCAACATAGAAGGTTTTGTACTGGCACAAAACAGGAATTATTCTTCCTCTGAGAATGACTATAAGTGGCTCCAACCCTTACTTTTTACATTGCAAGGGGAAGTCCAAATAGGATGCGATTTAAAAAAAAAAAAAAAAAAGTTTGTAATCTCTGGTGACTAAACTTGCCCGGGCTGCATTTCCACGCCTCTTCCACTCACTTGACGTCATACTATTTTTGTCCCTTTCTAGCTCATTGACACAATTGCCTCAGAAATCGGAGAACTGAAACAGGAGATGGTACAGACAGATCTCACAGTGGAAGATGAATCTGCTGATTTGCAAAGGTGATTAAAATGTTTATTTTCACAGTTACTGAAGGTGTACCGTGACAGGAATGTTTTCATTGTGCTCTCTTCTTGGGTGGCTTATATCCTAGGACTTTTCATCCTGGCAATGTAGGGGATGTAGATAATCTTGTTCTTGATTCAGGGAATTTGCCTTTGTGCAGGAGGAGTGCCCAGAGATTGAGTTGTTCTGTTTATTTGTCTTCTAAAAGCAACTGAACTTCGCTTCTGCCTCCTTGTTACAAACCTTGGATACTGATGAATGTCTAAAGCAGGAAACTACTAATGTTATTCCCATTGTCTATGGCAATGAGCTTTGCTCACGCTGTAACGACAAAAAATGTACATTGCTCCAAGTCACTCTGTATGTATTCAACATACAATAGTATGACTGATTTATGTTCTCAGGTTAGGAAGTAAAATATTGACTGTTATAAGCTGATGCTTTTGTGAGTTGTGTGTTTAAGTTCATTTATATGTGAGTATCTTGCACATGAAAAAAAATAAGTAGATGGGGGCATTTTCTTAACCTTAAAATTATTTGACATGCATACTACAGCACAGATGAAAGTTCTGGATTGTTAAAATAGATCATGCCATGTAGGTGTGGACCGTAGAAATTTGCAATGTTAAACTTGTACCTTTTAGTGGGCATAGTGGGACCCCAGGATTTTGGCTTTGCTACGGCTGTTGTGCTTGATTGGCAATATCTGTTAAATTGACATCTAGAGGATATTCAATGTTTTAATCATTGTGTTAACAAGAGAACACATTTTTGTGCTTACTGTTGAAATACTTGTTGAAAGAGGAAAGCAACCGATGCAGGCGTTCTGTTTTATCTGACTGCACAGTCTGGGCCAGCTCTGGAGCTGGTGGGCTTTGTTCTTCAAGGCAGTGATTTAATGAAGTGGATAATAGTTTGCTCTTTAGAATTACATCTATGGTTTTTTTAGCTTTTTTTTTTTTTCTTTCTATAAATACTTTTAAAATGTGCTAAAACTTTCTACAATATATATTTAAATTATTTAAATAAAACACTGAGCAGTGCCTTTTGTTGCCCAAGTGGTAAAGAACATAAGACAGCTGAACTAATTAACATCCTTGGCTATGCCACTGGTTGCACGTTATTCAAGTTTTAAAGCTTTTGAAAGCACAGTTCTTCTACAGGGGCGGAAAGGATACTTTCTCCATTTTGATGGGTTCAGCTAATTAATTTCAACAATCATTAGCTAATTTTGAGTTAAGAAAAGGCTTCTTGTATCTTTGAATACACCATATGCGTGAAGGACTAAGATCTGGTTCTAAAATCTTGGTGGAAACACTTAGCTGGAAACAGTCAATTAAATCTCCCCTTTTTACAGACCATGGGGATTTTTTTTTACTGATTTTTTTTTTTTTTTAAAACTGAATTTGTTAATTTTGAGTGCAAAATATGTTTTGATTGAAATATGTAAGTAAAGCTAACATAAAAAAGTGAATAATGCAATTTTGATGACTACTTAATTCAATTTCACATTGAAATAATTGCTATCCAATAAAAAAAGAAATTAATTCTTTTCTGTCACTTTTAAGATGATAAACATAAAGTATGAAATCTGAATAAATTGAGGTAAATTTTTGTATGACTACATAATTCTGAACTGTGTGCTTCTATGTAAGGAAGAAGTTGTATCAAAGATGGTATAAATTTATATAATTCGTTATGCACTGATATATTTTGTTTATATAGAGGTACATAGCAAGATTACAGTAATTTCAACTAAGGTTTTCCAGAGTTCTTATTTAAACTAGAGTCCCCACAAGGATGTGTTTACTGTCCTAAGTTCATTTCTTTGTAGTTAATTGAAAACTTTGTAACTAATGTAGGTTGCTTTTATTATTGTCCGTTCTGCTGTTCAGAAATTGGTAGATTGTTGTTCAGATGTGGCGTTTGGATTTGCATCTAGAGAAATTTAAGCTAAAAGGAATGTCTGTTTCCTTGGTGGTTTTTTCACCTTAGCATATATCTGCATGCACCCAGAAAAGTTTTAGAAAGGCAGGAGCTGCAAGAGCTCTCAACTGTATTCAAAAAAATAAGTACATGAAATAGCATGTCTGTAGCTGTAGTGTTATGGTTTGTTGGGTTTTGTTGGTTTTGTTGGGGTTTTTTTTGTGGTTGTGTGGTGACTTTCAGATTTATATTCTTCCCCCCCAGTTATATTTTGGACTTGTCTCCCTCTTTTGCATCTGTGGCCCAAGCAGTATTGAGAATGATTCAAGTAACTGGGCCTACAAATTTGGCTTGTAAACATGTAAAAGCCAGGCAAAGAAAGAGGCTTGTAAAAAATGTGTTTTAAGTGAGATGCTCAAGTAATCCGTTTCAATATTCCACGGTGTTTGATGCCTGGGCTTTTTCCCAGCGCAGACACATCTCTCAGTAATGCAAAGGAGTGGAGTCGTCAGAAAAGGCCGCAATTGTGATAAAGTTCTGAGCTGCGCTGTACAGGTGACCTTCAAAAGGGTAACTGGAGAGCTGCTGCGTGCAGCGGCAGCCCAGGTCCGCGTAGGATGGGGGAGCACACCTGATGTGGCTGGTGGTATCCAGGTGGCCTTCTAGGAGGCACTCGGTCTCATTACAGTTGTAATGAAAAGGAAACTAACAAAAGGAGAGGGAAATAAAACCCAAGAAAGGTAAGTGATGCAAATGAAAAACAATTGCTCACCACGACTGATGCCCAGCCAGTCCCTGAAGAGCAGCCCCCCCAGCCAACTTTCTCCCTAGTTTACATGCTGAGCATGACATCATATGGTATGGAATATCCCTTCGGTCACTGGGGTCAGCTGTCCCAGCTGTGTCCCCTCCCAACTTTCTGTGCACCCCCAGCCTACTTGCTGGCGGGGCGGTGTGAGGAGCAGAACAGCCCTTCACTGTGTAAGCACTGCTCAGCAGTAACTAAAACACCCCTGAGTTATCAACACTGTTTCCAGCACAAATCCAAAACATAACCTCATACTAGCTGCTGTGGAGAAAATTAACTGTCCCCTAGCCAAAACCGGCACACCGGATTAACTGTGGGGAGCCTTTGGTGGGACTGAACAAGGTTCACATTCATCTGCAATTTTAGACAGATTTACTTTACCTGCCTGTTGCTGTTCTTTCTGCCCTTGTGACTGGGAAGGAAATGAGGAATATTCCTTGCCGCTGAGTAACAGCGGAGCGGGAGAGCGATGAATCTGGACACAGAGCCGTGTTTTGCAAACTTCTGCACCATGGCAACGAGTGGGCAGCAAAGGTTAAGTTGCATCGCTGGGGAGATGCTGAGCATCCTACTGCCATGGGCCAAGAGCAGACCTCTTCCCCCTCTCTCCCTCCCCCTGGGTAACATGATCTTGGTGTGCAAGCACCCTAAAACCAGAGACCAATCCAGGCAAAAAATGGAGTGAGGGAATGTGGACACATTCAAGTGCAAGTTAGAGTCCTTATCATCATTATAGTATAAAACCTGGTCTGTCACTATGACCCTCCATCTGGGATGACAGGCTAAATCCAGCTTTGCTCTTTCCTTTGGGCTGAAAACCAGCCTTCTTCATAGTGAGGGAGCATCCCTCAAATTTGATGGTCATCTAGGTCCTTCCTACAACTCCTTTCATGCCCTCAGAAGGGTGGGTAAGTTCCTCTGCAGAGGGGGGTGGGTGTGTGTAAATCCTACAGCAGCTGTCTTAGTTTGATTCAACACGGCAAACCTACAGAACAGCGTTAGTCATCCTGTGAGCGCAAAGCCAGACGGACCTTCGCTGTGTCCATAATCCCGAAGAGAGAAGAGTCTGTTCCTCAGGCCAGTGTTTGTCAATGCAGGAGGCTGGCGGTCGTTTGAGAGCAGATCGGCTCGTTGTTCCAAGTCCTGCAAAAAAAATGGGAGAAATATTAGAAGTTTAGGTTTTACAAGGTTAGAGCAAGAGGCAAAGGTAGGATTTGAGAGACCAAAAGAAAATGGCTGTAGTGAGCAGGAGGGTGTGATCAAGGTGTATGTCACAGGCCTGTGGGTGTGAGGGAGAGGATCATCCTGGTTACAGCCTTCAACCTGTTCCTTGTCCTTTTTACTGTGAGCTGAGTCTAGTCAGGATGCAGCACCGAATTGTTTATCTTGGCGGTTACCTCTGTTTATTTCCCACACGTTTATGGGTTTTCTCAAATCTAAGTAAACTTGCGTGAATCATGCGTTTTCTTTAATTCACTATGAGTTGTGTTGACACTCCTCTCCCACTGGAGAGGAATCAGTGTAGTACCCCTGTGTTAAAGTAGACCATCCATGGAGGTTGATTTGTGTTTTGATTTTGAGTTTAATGTGACCTAGTTGGATTGTCTTCTATTTGGAGTCACAGTTAAAAAACCAAACCAAAACAAAAACACCCCACAAAAAACCCACACAAAGAAAAAATCCCAAAAACCCAAAAGTAAAACCAGGAGAGAAAGTTAATTGTTGAATAATATACAGCTTATTTTGCTAGCATTTAGTTTATAGTAACTTCTTATTCTGTACACTTGAATTAATCAGGTGATCCTGAGGAATTCAAATGATTCTTCTTGCCTTGCTATTGTTTCCAAAGAAGTTACACGCACATCCCAGTCCCAAATAATTTTACAGTCGAACTCTAAGACTGGACAAATTTCAAGAACTCCCATGTGTCAGGGTTTGTATGTTTAGTGTCTGGATCATTAATTAAAATAATTTTAAGAATAAAAACCTAACTCAGACTATGGTGCTCCGTAGTGCCAGACCATTGCAAACATGCTGTCAAAACAGACTTTTGGCTGCATTTACCTCCTGGGCCCTGGGAAGTGGCGGCTTCTAGGTTGAATGTGGTTTGCCAGACCTGGTTTTTCCAAGCTATGCTCTTGCCAGAGTTCACCAGGTCTGATCCTTCTCTCTGTCTCTCTATTACTTGGATAGCAAATATTTTTTTTTAAGTGTTGTTTGTTCCTAGTTTACCTTCCTGTGGATTGCAATAACATACTAGTATTGATCTAGCTGAGGTACTTCGGGGTCATTTGTACTGGTAATGTTTAGGAGTGGCAGAAAGTCTTGTCGTGATAGATACTTGTAATCTTTGGCTTATTCCTTGAGGGGGCAGAAGCAGCTGCAACAAGAAGGTGCGTGTGTATCTAGGTCAGTAAGGTGCGGGCTCACACGTTGCATTCCTCCTCAGATCTTGGCACGTGGGAGGGTTTGCGCGTATAAATACCTGGAGGTTCCAAAAACCCGGCAGCCCCCTATTCAAATTAATCTTCTGGTTTATAATGGTTTGGGTGTGTTTGACAACATGAAGCCAGCCATACCGAAGAGGAACACTGTGACCCTCCGAACACGTGTAAACTCTTACTAGCTGTAGGTTGTTTCGTGGTAGCAAGCAGTGCCGGGCCTTATGGCTGATACCAGTCGTGCACCTTCTTTTGCATGTGACGTAACTTTCTTTTGTAGGCAGGAAAATCTTCCCTCTCAGACTTGTTCCCTCTGCAACACGTTTAGTTTCCACCCCTTGACCAAGGAATGGAAATCGGTTATATCTAGTTAAGCCTGCAGCCAGCGTCAATGTATACTTGCACTTTGCCATAGCTATCTTTGGTCTGTAATGTTGCTAACTGGCACTGAAGGTGAGTGGAAAGCTTCTGAGCAGTATTTACCAGAGGTACAGCTCATGAAAACACTTTTGTGATTCATGATTTGACTTTTGTGGAGTTTCATACATTACAACACTGGTTCTGCTGGGACTGTGGTTGAAAGGGGAACTCAGGATCCCAGTTGTGGCAGTTTCAGAGCCCGTTTGTAACTGATGTAAACACTACTTCCTTTCTGCACACAACAGGTTTCTGTGTATTTTGTGCCCCTTGAAGGCATATTGGCACTCGCTAACAGCTTTTGACACTCAGGGAAAGAAGATCATCTGAATTTTAGATGCCTTGCAAATCTAAAAGGCATCACGTCATAAATAAGCAGCCAGAGAAAGATGACAAAAAGGGAGAGGCACGCAGGTGATCTGGTAGTAATAATTGATCCAGGTAATGAAAAGTTTGAATGATTGTGCCAATTCTTACCTGATCATGCAGTGAAAGTTCTCTGCCCCATTTACTTTCCTTTCTAGCCCTGTCCAGAGATGCTGCAAGTCGCTGACCAAAGCTAGAAAAAAAACAGTTTGATTGTTGGGGTTTTTTTTGTTGTTTGATTGGTGAGTTTTGTTTTGGGGTTGGGTTTGGGGGGGTGAATTTTTGTGTGTTCTTAAGTATTCAGTGCTCCTGTGCTTGTGAAGTCTCTAACGCACTTGCTCTGGGTACAATAGCTGGCATAATGAAGGTGGTAAATGCTCTTAATGATGCATACTGCCTGTCCAAAACACAAAGTTCAGAGCTGCCAGAGAGTTTGCAGCGGGGAAGTGCAGCTGCGTTGTCCTCTGCTGCTCGGGGCCTGTTCTGCCATGGGAAGAGGTCTGTAGGGACCACGCAACCTCTGTGCCTGACATCTTAGGGAGTCAGATCTTGAGCTTGCAGGGTGTTTTTTGTCTATCCTCAAATATTGTTAGCAGGAAGCTCTTACCAGAGTAACTATTCTGTAGTGATTTTTAGCACTGGAAGAATCACAGGATGTACTTCTAGCTCAAACATAAGGAATTTGAACGAGCAATGCATGTGCAATTGTACTGAGTGTTCTGTATTAGATGAATGATGGCGAAGCTTTGCATAGCAAAAGGACTTCTCAAAGTATTTCATTTATTTGGATTTTTAATGCTTAACGAGTATTTGTAGCTTCCAAGAACTGTACTTTGTTACTGAATTTAGCAGTAAATTTAGCTGCTCTGCCCCGAATAAATTTTAACCTTACATTAGCTTGCCCCATTCACACTTAGTTTAGCCTTTATTCCTCACATAGGAGTCGATCCAGAGCCAGAGGGATTAGGACCATAAATATATGTATATAGATGTTGTCTCTTTTTTTTTTTCCCCCCCTTTATCTTTCTTTCTCCTTTTTCTTTTCTCCTGACTGAGCTTTCTGACCACTCGTAACTGAGAGGAACAAAGATGGATACGCAGCTACGAAGATGACGCGGCTGGTGGAGCAGAGACAGTAGTCTGGGGATAAGATGAAGTGATGCTAGTTTGTGGGCTTCTGTTGTGAAAATAATCCCTACAAGCAAACAGAGAACATGCTTGTGTTTCGTGCAGTGATCAGCAACAAGTAGTGGGTTGCTCCATTGTCAGAGTATTGAACAGATTTTCCTGGCAGGCAGGACAGAGAAAGATTTCTGTGGGTTGCAGCTTTTGCAGTCTCTCTGGGAATAAAAATACCTGAGTTGCATAAATACCTTTGAAGAGAAGTTTTTTCCAAATGTGAACAGAACAAAGAAAGGAAGTGAAATGTTCAATCAATCATGCATGCATATACACCTGTATCTGAAGTGATTGCCGAATTTCTACAGGCTAATAGAAGAATGCTAAGGCTTATCTTAAAGCTAGCTGTAAAATTGAGGACAAGTGAAAGAAATTTTAAGGATAAGAGAATTTTTGTGTACGCTAATTATATGAATTCCCAGTAGGAGAAATACCAGTCCAGAGTGCCAGCAGTGCCGTTAGCTTTGTGATAACTCTGTTTGCTGAACTGAGTGATTGTTTATAGGAGGTTAGCTTGTCTAATTTAATTTTTTTTTATTTTATTTTTTACAGCCTAGTAAAGGACATGGATAATATCTCTCCTGAGAAAAATGATGTAAAAAGCTGCCCCCGGGACTCTGGATATGACAGCCTATCCAACAAGCTAAGCATATTGGACAAGCTCCTCCATACTCACCCTGTGTGGCTGCAGCTTGGTCTGAATGATGCTGAAGCCATGGAAATTCTGCAGGCCCAGCCTCCTGGGGTAAGAAGTTACATTTCAATTTATCTGATGCAAGTGTTTAAAAAAAACCAAAACCCACAACCAACAACAGCAACAAAGCCAACCCCATCCCCCCAGTAAAAAACCCAAACAAACCAGCATCCCACCCCCATTTCTTCTGTGCTTTGGGTAATCCAAGCGAGGGCTGCCTGAGCGCTTGGCAGCTGGACCAGTTGGAGTGTGACCCGTTACCTGGGCTGATATACTGGGGACTAGTTTGGGGTCCTCTGGAGCTGAGAACTAGACTGTTGCAATTACAACTCTAAAGCTGGACCTTGCTAACCAGGGTTGTATGTAACAGATGGATTTCCCCCATAATGAGAAGGCCATAGATAAATTGGAAATGCCAGCATTTGGTCCTTCACTGGTGCCTGCATTAAAGTTGCTGTGACAGAAACCATTCCCTGTCTGCCTGGATGAGGCCAATAACATGTTTCTAATGCTGCCTCCATCCTGGTGCAGAAGGATTGTATGAGTGGGCTGATGGGACACTGGAGAAGTCCACCATCAGTCACCTCCCGACTCTGCAGCTTGGCTGAGGGCTGGGGATTTGCTGCGTCTTAAACTGAAGAGCTCAGATAAGGGCATGATGGACTTGGTGTCATGCGTCTGTTATACCAGGATGAGATGCTTTTCTAAATGGTCTGTTGCTATTTTACACCAAGTGTTGAGCCCGATACGGTAACAACCGAGTAAAATTCTGAGACGTTTTGTATAGATCAGAGATCATGAAGCTGTTCTGGTTCCTTTTGTCTATAATCTGTCATGAAGCTAAAACCATCTCCTTTTGCCTTCTCCACAACAGATATTTCTGGTTAGGAAATCTGCAAGACTGCAGAAGAAAGTCATCTCTCTGCGTCTGCCTGGTGACTGTGGGTCCTGCCTAAAAGAATTTGCAATAAAAGAAAGCATATACAGTAAGTCATGAGTTGCATGCTTTTCAGCTGTTGGTCGCTCTGTGTCAGCTGGGAGCGCTCTGCATTGGTGAAACCCACAGCAGAAGACACCCAAAGTCATGCAAATAGTGTCCCAGACTGCCTACAATGCTTTCTGTGGAGGGTGCTGCGAGTGAGTCAGGCATATGCTGCAGAAGGGAAGATATACAGAAATGCTTAAGTCTGTGCAGGACACGACTGGAATGTTTCTTCTATGTACCTTGCTGAATCCAGGATTCATTGATTATTATGGGTAGTTATCCTCTTCCGTAGAAACACAGTCTATAATCCTGTCTGCTGTCAATGAAATGTTCCTGCGTTTCCTTGTACTCGGGGGACTGTTCTCTCTGTCTACAAATTTGGGTGCGGTGGTGGGGTTTTTGGGGGTTTTCTGTTATTTATTTCTTTAACGTAATAACTACATTGATTTTAACCCTTTGGAACTGTTTCTGATGCGAGATCGATGAGTTTTCTTTTTTAATTCCATCTATATTTGTTCCCTGTTTTCTAACAGAAATGAGCAAATGTTAGAGTTCCGATCAGTTTCAAAACAATACTGCCCTCATCTCTTTAGAGGGAAGATGTGAAAAATATGTATGAGATATAGGAATGAAAACAGGAAGTTGCAGCTGGTCAGTATATGTGGATCAAATGGTTCGTTTTAACAAGAAAGTGAAAACTGGAGAAAATCAGCAGTAATTTCAGTTAAACTTCTCTGAAGCCAGAGGATCTGTAGTTAACTTCTATTTCTACTAGTAGACTGAGATAGTTTTAGTTGAGTGTTTTTTTCCTTTTTACCTCTGACTTCCCTGCCCCCAGCAACAAAAAGTTAGTTCTACGTGTCTGGTTTTGGTTCCAGTTGCCAACAAGGCACGGCAAAGAGAAGAGAAAGCTATCAAAGACAGTTGATCAAAGTGGGATCTAAGGCTGCGTTTGTAGGCTTGTTGTACTAATGAACTCCCTCTCTCCCATCTAGAAAATAACATATTGTCTTTCCTGAATAAAATTTTACCACAAGGGGGAAGTATGTACTGACATTTTTACTCACCAGTCATAGCTGAGGTTTTAATTGTAGTCAGGGATCTGAACACTCATCTTCTCTTTGCCCGCCCCAGATCACCTGCATGCTTACTGTTTGCATTGCTAGTATCTCTCTTAAGGAAATCCCTTTTCCTGGGCACATAAATTACTAGGTCGACCTGTCCTTTGGTGTAAAGGTTGAATAAGAGATCAGTACCCGACTTAAGTTTTTCCCTGGTTCACGTGCAGACTTTATAGTCAGTAGCACTGGAACCTTGGTGTGGGGGAGCTGGCCGTACAGCATGGAGTTCTGACAAAATTACATCTTTGCTACTCACTGGGAGGCATTGCTGAGGTATCCAAAGCTGCTGTGTGGCTTTTGGCTTTCCTCACCAAGCCCGGGAGTCTGCCTTGTTTCAGCCCAGATGTCTGAAGCGACTGCAGCGGTGGAAGTACTCTCCTTAGGAGATGAATTTCAAAAGCATTCCTCTGTGGGTGAAACAGCGATGGTGTGCGCACCACACCAGCTGGAGATTCACTCCTGTGATCTGACTTTTCTAACTCTGGGATGGACCGAAGCAATCGCAGGCTTCACATTCGCCCCTTTGTAGAAGTTGTCCGAGGCTGCAAGAGACCGTCATTCCTGTACTTCAGGAACCTGTCGTATGCTACCATTACATTTCATAAATGCTCTTCCTTCTGCTCTGGTCTCAGTCATGTCCAGAGGCAAAGGATCTAGATCGTTTCAGTCCAAGAGCTTCTTCCCCTTGATCTTTGTAGTCATTGTGTGAGATTTGTCACTGGAATCGGAGCTTAATGTAAATGAGATGGCAGTCACTGCTATGTCATTATTACTGTGAACATGTATTTATATCAATAAGAAACAATGGTATGGAGGGGGGAAAAAATGAAAGACATTTCTTGTGTCTTCCTACTCCATTGTGCAAGCCAATAGCATGAAGCAGAATTGCCTGAGGTTTTTTTTTTTAAAGGCTTTTCAGGTTAAATGGTTTTCTTTAAGTGAATGAAAATTTATCATCTCCCATTAGGTGCTAACGCATCTGGGGAGAAGATGACAAGTGAGTAGGATGGAATGCAAGAGGAGGAAATAAGAGATTTAAAATTAAGTATATTTGCACACTGGGCAAACAAAGGCTTAGTTATTGATTTATTGTCTATTAGCAAAATGTTGTGCAATTCTAATCACACTTGATCTGTTTTCCTAGGAATTAGACTATATGTTTGTAATAAAAAAACAAACCCACCGCCAAGACTGTCAGTATATTCTTGAAAATGCCTTTAGCAGAGATGTGTACTCCTTCACACAGTTGTTTTCTCTTAACCAAAGAGTAGCTACTTTGATGGTGCAAACTTATTAATTTTATGCAAAAATCTGAGATGCATTTTATTAAGCTTTTCTACGAAATGGTGGATAGATGTGTGATTCTTTGCCTCTTGTAACTTTCTTGGCAGCATTTTCCTTGGAGGGATCTGGAATAAGTTTTGCTGATTTATTCAGGCTCATTGCTTTCTACTGTATTAGCAGGTAAGATGGTGTTATGTTCTGAGTTGTGTTTGCTAGACTGTCTTGGGGAAAAATAGTCTCAAGGACTTGTTTCAGCATGGTATTTATGTTGCCAATCTACAAATATTCCTGTGTAGTCTTAGAAGGTGATGGGAGAAATAGGAGATGAGAATTGGAAGCAAAGTCTCTTCAGTCTTATTTTGTACTGATTATTGGAAGGCCAGTGTGATGTTATCCACCCAGCTGGGAGGTGTTGCCAAGTTGAACTTTACTTTAGCTGATACCTTGTAATGCTTTCATAACTGCTCTGTAACTCAGTTAATAAGCACCATAAACTATCTCGCAATGTCCATTTTTTGGACTTGCTAGTAAAAAGCACCTTTGTAGTATAGTGGAAAAATGTCAGATCATGCTGAATAGAATATGACAGCTGAGAGATGTGAATGTAAATTGTGAACAACAAAGACAACCTCATCAGCTTTCCAGTTTATGGTTGCCCAACTTGTTTTCCAGGTAGTATGCAGAGGAAAAAATAGCTGGTGGTTTTTTATCTTTTAAGTTGTTTTCAATTTTACTTTAGTTTACTGGAGAAAACTTCCAGACTGATGCTCAAGCCTTATATTTATCCACAGATAGGACATGGCCAGGCTGCACATCTGCATGTTTTCTGAAGGAAGGAGAGAGAGGCACTTTTGATGGTCTTGGTCCTTCTAAGAGGTTGCCAATTAGTGCTGACAGTGGTGACTTCCGGTGTGTGAAATGCTCGCTAGGGGTGCACTTAGGTTGCTGTGCTTACTGTTTTTGCTTGTGGTGGAGAAGCGTCTAGACCCCCTTTGTTACAGGCCTCCGTTTTGCCAAGCTGTACGTGCATGTGATGAAAGAAGCGTTTATACTGCATAAGTAGTTGGTCAGCACTCAGATGAGAAATGAGCTGAAACTGCATTTAAAAACACTTTAATGATGAGAGATGCCTTACCTTGTCACCCTTTGAGTTCTGCGCACTAGCCAGCCTCTAGCAAATTCCCTCTAAGTGCCTACAGGGAGCATGCAGCAAATGTAGATTTTTTTTTTTTGCGTTAGTTTATCCCTTTTCTTTCACTGAGGGCTCCAAGTTGCTTTGCATTTGCTAAAAATAAGCCCACGAACACACAGTAGCTTATTGCCTGGCTCATGAGTATCATCATAACTGAGAACCTCTCTCTGCAGAGTGCCTTTAATTTTCTTAATGGTATTTCAGTCAGCCAAGTGTGAATTTAGTATCCTGATGCAGTCAGGCCTCCCATTCAGGAAGCACATACAAAACTACATAACCAGGCTCTTGACCTGTTTATTGTTCTGTTCCTTTCTGCCCTTGGGGGCAGGGGAAGGAAGTGAAAAGAGTGGCAATTGCAACTTAGGCATGGTGTTAAAGCTTTCCTAGTGCATCATCTTGAACGCAACTTTAGCTGCACACCCACCCGCAGATACCAGTAATAAATACAACTTCAGCTGCAAACCTGTCCAGGTAAATGAAGCTCACTCTTTGATTGTGGATATGCTTTTGGAAGTGGATGCTTATTTCCCCATTCAGTGGAGAAATGTCCTAAGTGTTTGTTTGCCTAATGTTTCTTAAGTGGCAGTACCTACCCAGTATCCATGTCCTCTTCAGGCAGCTGTCTAGGATTGCCAGGGGTGCAAGAGGAAAATGTATACACTAGTTAGGGAAGCAGATAGGTAGCTGTCATGAGAAAGAGAGGGTACCATTTGGTACCTCACAGCAAAACTAGGAGGGTTTCCTAAAAGCAGAGGGAATTTCCTGCAATAGCTACCCAATCAGTTTGTACAAGTAGTCAAGGGTTACCTGTCTTTATATTGAGTCCATGATGGTGTTCTAGACTCTGGATTATCAGTGGTACAATGTTGACAGTGTCTTTTCAAATAATTTTTAGCTAGTGTGTCAGTCTTTAGCTTGATTTGAATTTGAGTGGTGTTCTGAGATCCTGTTTTTTCAACAAGTTAACATACAGCATAGAGAATATTTATGTGATAAAACCCCACTGTCTGTGCTACAACAGATGGTTGACTTATTCACAGCCTTAAAAAAAACAAAATATGCTGACACCAGTTTTATGTAGGATTCCTGTGCTCCATTCTTAATTGCATAGGTATTTCTATTACAGATTTTGCAGTTTAGCATGCGCTGCTGTTTGAGGGTGTATTGATACCAGTTGGGCAGGCAAGAGGTCTAGTAATGGTTGATGGTAATACTCATAGAATATACATATGGTTAACTATTATTGTCCCTTAAAATTTCTGTCTAAAAGCTTTTTACACTGGATTTGGCTTATGTTGTTGTTCGCGCATCTCCCTTTGTAAACATCCATTGAACTTCTAGAATGTAGTGAAGAGAAACCACATATGAGAATAAACTATAAGGACTTTCTTAAACGAACTGTGTCTTCAGCCTAGGAACAGAGTAGCACCAAAACATCCGAGCTTAGAAATTTTTAGGGTAGCTGCCCAAGTACTTATTTAAGTTTTTATTCTCAGAATTGGAATTTAACTTTGAGAGCAATCAACAGTGTATTTAGAAAATAAGAAGCTTTGTTGAAGTGTTAAGGGCAGATAACACTTTTGCATCTGACTGGTATGCTTGTAAAAGACCAAGTATAAAAGCTTCTGCTGTAAAGGGAGAAAAAATTGGATGGCTCTGTGGAAATGAGCCTAAAGAAAGTCCTGGGACACTTGCACTTCACACCACTTTCCAATGCAAAGGAGCTCTGGGGTTAGTAATGTTTTCACTGTGTGCTGTGTGTTTAAGGCTCTTGCTACCTGCCACAGCTCTGTAAGAAAATAATCAGAGCTCAGCTACTGCCAGTGTTGAAAACAAATGCTTTTAAAACTATGGAGGTTGTTGTGAAAACCGTATTGTTTTTCTCTTTGGCAACAGGGATGTCCTTCCATTCACCCTGAAGCTGCCTCATGCTATTGCTGCAGCAAAGACAGAAGCTGAACTTGAAGAGCTGGCTCAGCTTGGACTGAGTAAGTAGTTCTCCGCATAAATGTCATTCTCTGTAGCATTGCTGTAAGCTTGAAGAAATAGTCTCTGTCTTTAAGTGGTTCGTATTGGTCAGTGATGATACGGATTTCATTTAGAAAAGCAGCTTCTCTTACTGGGAAGGCCAAACCTTGTATTTGCCAAACGGTGACCTTGGTGGTCTTCCTGCCTTCTGTGATATTTTTGTTAGTGCTGTTTCCTTCCTTCCTTCTTCCCTCTCCTCTCTTGGCAAACCTTGGGCAAAGCAAGTCTTACAATCCCCAGACAGAGGTTTCATATAGCTTCTCCTCCCAGGGCTAACGGTGGTCTCAGGCTCGCGTAGCAAGGCCACCACCTTGATGATTTGCTGAACTTGCCAGGGGAGTGTAGGAACTGAGGTTCACTGTTAATAAAACTTCTGTTCAGATTGACATGTGATCTGAGATGGTGATTTTTGGGATGAGCGGCTCAATGCAGTAACATATTAATAAAGGGAGGAGTGTATATGAAAGATCTGCAGAATGTATCCGTGTGCATTGGTTTGGAGAGATTTTTAAAATGACAAAAGAAAATACAGGCTCAATGTAAAACGTACCTTGAGCTTGCAGGAGACGTAAGGCCTGGTGGGATTTGAAACACGGGCTCCACCCAGATGAATTGTTGAGCAACTCCTGCAAAGTGCTGAATGGCCTCATTTCCTTTTGCAGGAAGGGAGAATTGACTGTCTTTGTCCCAGTAGATTTCTTTTTTAATCATCTTTAATTTAGAAGTGGATCTAAATCTGAACATTAGCATGAGGTTCTCTAGAACTACTTGGTGGGACTTTGCAGCAAAGTCACGCACAGAGAAGTATTGCACTGCTTTGCGTTTTGTTTTGCTGCAGTAGCAATGCAATTAAGGGATTTGTTTTAGAGAGGAGACAAATGACTTCTGCACCGCTTATCTGCAAGTTTAGGTAATTAGATGGAAGTATGGATTTTCATGGGAACAGAGGCAAACATGAAACCGTGATTAGGTGACTGTTTGGATGAAGAAAAAAAAAAAGAAAAAGTCTGACTGGGATACAGTGTAGTGAAGACAGTCTCCCAGTGACACTTGGAAGCCTTAAACGTTAGGTGAGTTTCTCTATAGGAGATAATGGTGGTATTGAGCAAGATCTCCAGACCAGCCACAGTGTCCTCAGTAGCTGAGAGCACCATGGCCTACTTGATGCAGAGTTTTCTTGCTCTTGAACAGTCTCTGTCTACATTGCGTGTGTTGTTTTTTTTAAGCTAATACATTTGAAAGCTGAGGAGGAGACTGATGGATCAGTGTCTGTGTGGTTGGTGTATTTGGGATCAATTACCTACTATACACTAGATTAAGATCACAGTTTCTGTGAGCAAAAACCAGACAACAAAGTTGAGATTGTGATGGAGTTTTAGGTGTCCACGTGCAGAACAACACACCCAGAAGTCAGCGTTTCAATGCTGTGGACCCAAGAGATGCCTAAAAACTCCCAAGGGTCCTTTCTGTTAAGTGTGAGCTTTCCTTAAGCATCACATAGGCACAAAACACCCTGGTCTGAACACGGAAGGTTCTAGCTCCTGTCAGAGCTCTGTTACACCATAGGCTCGGAGGGAGAACCGCACAAGGCAGGTCAATAGCATGTAGCCCAGCAGACCACATCGGGAAGAACTGGTGGTAAAGCTTTCAAGGGTGCTGCCAACCTGTAAGGTTTCACGTGCTGACCATAAGATTCCCACTCTCAGTCTCTTTTGTGTTTCACCTGCAGCAGCTCTTCCATCACGTGTGTTTGCAACAGCCCACGTGCCCGGCACACTGGCCAGTCTGCTGAGGGATCTGCAGGCAGGATGTGAAGTCATGCAGCTGGGAGAAGCAGCAGCATTGCATGACTATGTAGAGCAATATGTCTGTGCCTGCATACGTTCCTTGGCAGTGGCCTGTTACCATGGGCCATTTCCTGTTTTCTGCCCCATAGGCAAGACACAGCTCTTGGGCATGGGCCCTGTGTGGAGTGCTTGGCATTCATGCAGTTGGGCCCGGGTGTCATTGCTCGACAGCCCAAATGAGGCATCTCGGCACTACAGGAAAAGGGGCTGTGTCAAGATTGGCAGATTTTAACAAAATCTCCCTCCTCTGGTATTCCTCCCTTTTTTCAGTTCAATCGGTGTCCTCGTGGGCTTGTCTGGTTTCAATCTTCATACTTTCAGGAGCTGATGAGCTTTACCATTGACTCAGTTTCAAAAACATGCTGACGCTTTGCTGGGACAAGTGCAGAGGCTGCAGCTGAAACTTGCTGGTTTAGCACAGGTTTTCCATGCTGCTGGAGTGGGACTGCACGTTTGGTCTATTTATGTGCTGCCAAGTGTCTAAAACCTCAGGAAAACTGTGTCACCGTTGGAAAGGCAGGGCTGCAGGCCAGTGCTCTTAAGAGACGCGAGCATTTGGTCTGCATAGCTAAATGTTATATGTGCACCCACCACTGAAAAACGTGAGCTGTCTTTTCATGTGTAGTTTCATTTGTTTGTTAGCAAAAGAAACCAAACCAAAATTTTTACTGAGTTGCCGTAAGTGGCCATCAGCTGGTGTAAATCAGCCTAGCTGTTGTCTTTAATGGAGTGAGCTTATTAATACCAGCTGAGAATTCAGGCTTATTTCTCCTAAGTGAGATGCTAGTGAGTAGTTTATGTTCACTTCAGTCTCAAGTTGGTATGAATTACTGTGTTACAGTTTCCATTCCGTTCTTTGATTCTCAGTTTATTTTTAAGCTTAGTTCAGTGGGCTGATTTGAAGCTACGCATTGGTCATGATATTTATAAAAGCGTAAGAGCGGCCCCAGGAGTGTAGCATGCAGTTATGTCTGGCAGTGCTTTAAGGGGTTCACTCAGAGGTTTTTTTTTTTTTCCCCCTTGAATTAAAAAAAAGCTCGTCTAAATTTCTGAATACTTGAAACTGGCGATGTTGAGCTGAATGTTCTGAAAGCCATCTGCATGCTGTTTTGCATTCTGACATTACTGCCATGATGATTTTCAGACTTTTGGAGCTCCCCGGCTAACAGCAACCCCCCAGATCCTTCACCTCCTCGTAGGCCTGTGCCTTTGGACAGTGCTTGTAAAGACTCGCGTCAGCTCTGCCTTATAAATGGAGTGCATTCTATACGAACCAGAACGCCTTCGGAGCTGGAGTGCAGCCAGACCAACGGAGCGCTGTGTTTCATTAATCCCCTCTTCTTAAAAGTGCACAGCCAGGATGTCAGTGGAAGTCTGAAAAGGCAGAGCCCGAGAACTCAAGACGTGAATGGCACAGCGAGGCCTCGCTCCCCCCCACCCCGGCCGCCACCTCCTTCTATTAATAGCATCCTCACGAGTCCGCAGCTTTCCAGGACTATAAAGCAGGCGAGCATGCCAGAAACAGTCAACCATAAGAAAGGGAGAGGCTTGGATTTGCTGCAGAATAAACCAACCCCTATTCCGCCTCCGCGGCTGAAGAAGCAGGCTGTTTGCTCGGAGGTGGAAGGTAGCTCAAAGACCGCAGTGGTAATTCGACCTGGATGCAGCTCGGCGCGTCTGCCCGAAGCTGCTGGCGTTCCAGGTGAAACCCTGCCCGAGCCGGCTCCAGCGGGTGCCAAAAAGACCGTAGCTACCAGCTCTGAGTCACACATACCGTGGAATGGAGGCAGGCAGAGACTGAGCGACATGAGCATTTCCACCTCCTCGTCCGACTCGCTGGACTTCGACCGGAGCATGCCGCTGTTTGGCTATGAGGGGGACACTAACAGCAGCCTGGAGGATTTTGAGGGGGAAAGCGACCAAGAGAGCATGGCACCCCCTTTGAAGCCCAAGAAGAAAAGAAACAGTTCATTTGTTCTCCCCAAGATTGTGAAATCTCAGCTACGGAAAGTCAGTGGAGTTTTCAGTTCCTTCATGACCCCTGAAAAGAGGATGATAAAGAAAATTGCAGAGATGTCCCAGGACAAACGCACTTATTTTGGATGCCTAGTGCAGGACTATGTCAGCTTTCTCCAGGAAAACAAGGAGTGCCATGTTTCGAGCACTGATATGCTGCAAACAATTCGGCAGTTCATGACCCAAGTCAAAAACTATTTGTCCCAAAGCTCCGAACTTGATCCTCCGATTGAATCGTTGATTCCTGAGGACCAAATAGGTAAGAAATGCTCTCCTGTGTTTTGGAGGAAGGTGAAAATGTGTGATCTGTGTTTATAGTGGTAGTCTTTCTGCCAGTTTGGAAAGATGGGGTTGACTTTGCTAGCAGAGTTTGAGCTGTTGAGTATTTGAGTCTTAAAACAAAACAACCCTGCACCCCCCAGCCCCCCATCACCCTAGCAACTCAGAACTATGCTGCAAAGTTGTTCATAAAAAGTAACCCTTAAAGTAGCTGCAATGTTACCTGTGATTATTACTTTTTTTTTTTTTTAGCTTCTGTACTGTTAACAGCTTTGTTTTGTTAACAGTACAGAATCCTTTATTTGCTGGCACATGTGTATTTTTTTCCCTGAATTGGGCCAAAATAGTTCTGAATTCTTGGACCAAAACTGTGCCAATTTTAACCATGTGGACCGTAGCCATAAAAATAGAATATATTCAAAACCAGTGACAGTTAAAAGCAGGGAGACGTTTCATAGCAACTTAATTTAGAAATAAATCTCATTCTTCCAAACGTTCTCATTTGCTCCTAGCAAAGCTGCACTGTCCCTACACTTGAAGCTAAATGAAAAGATATATGAGAGTTTTAAAAAACAAACAGATGTCTGCAAGAGAAAGGGCTGCTTATCTCAGGTTTTCTATACCTCTCTGTTACATGTACATAAATGGTTGCAGATGAGCTATATATTTGAATACATGTTTTAACAACAGAGGGAGACTTGTGTATCCACAGAAGTGAAATCATTGTTGCTGCATAAAATCTTACTGCTCCTCTATCTTGCCGAGTCTGAGCAGTATTTGTAAAAGAGCCTATAAGCCACATTTAGGAGGTAAACATCCCTCAGGGCAGAATACTTTCCTTGTGAGCTCACTTCAGTCCTAATTTGCTTGTTTTTCTCCTGTACCCTAGTGTCCCAACAGTTGGCCCGGTGCAAAATTGGCAGCTAGTTCTTTCTTTGGGACTAGAGGGTGATTTTATGTTGACTTTTCTGTCTGTCCTTGGCCGAGAGGAAGTATTCTCATGTAAACTCGACTTCATTTGCACAAAGTCAAGCAAAACTAACAAGCACTGCTAAAGCAAGTATCGAAGAGTGTCCTTGAAACTGACTCTTTCAAAGATGTGTAATGTTCTCACTAGAATAATAAAGAATATTACATAGGTGTTATGTGGAAGAAAAAACGGCAAATTGAGCAGTGGTGCAGGCTCACTTTCGCCTGGAATTTTGCAGAGTACTGGATATTTGACAAATACAGATCTAGTTTGCTTGTAATTTTGTGAAAGCTTGGTTTGACTTGTACTTTTCATTGTAAGGGTGTAGTTAAATCAGACTGCGGGTGTCTGAAGATTGGCAAAATGCTGCCTGCTTTTAAATGTTTCAGTAGTTTGGAGTAGCATAAGCTGTGAAATGTAACAACTAAACTGCATTGGTTTTTCTTCAGCGACAGAAAGTCTGGCTTTGATCATGTGATTAAATGCAATTCATTTATAAAGCAGGATAGTTTAAACAAAGGAAGAACTTGCTTTTGAATCATCTGCTGCCT